CAAAGAATTTTCTGGCCCACAATTTTAATACTGCTAAAACTGAGAATCCCTGCTTTACATGAGAGAAAAGAAGTCAGAAAAGACAGTTTTAGTGACCGCATGACTTCTTTTTAAAAGATACCACGAAATCCTTCATTAGAGGTTCATCATGGAGTTGGCGTCTCCAGAAATTGAAAGCATAGTCGTGACAATCTTACCCTTCAAAGTCAGATATTAGCTGAAATTATTTTCTCCTCTAATTCTTAAAACACTGTTGTCGTGAACCTTAGTTTTTCATCCCAATTTGAGTTAAGGAAACCTGGGTTAGTTTCAACTATTAGTACCATCTTAACCTAAGCTCCTCATGTTACCTGTCCCACCAGATCTCTGTTCTCTTGTTCTATTCTGGACCAATCCCAGTACACACCTTCGGGGTGTGATGTGGCAGGTTTACAAACAGGGGTGCTTTTTTATTCCCCAGAAAAGCAATCATTCGCATGTGTGCAAAATATTTCACTTGCTCTGGGGGTTAGAGTAACACATCTAAGTCAAATATGAATCATTCCTATACTTAGAGTCTTTTGAAAATAACCATGCCAACCTACAGAAGCACACCGATGGGTAACAACTGTTAGCAGAATATGCATCAAAGGCATGTTTAGCTATTGGAGACCAGCAACGGAAAGTAAATATTAGAAGATTTTAGTCTCTATTATGAATATGTAGAACTTAAGTTTTATGTGCTTTGCAAATCAGAAAAAAAAATAACCAATGTGATATCATTTGGTCACTTTGTCATCAGGAATGTCTTCATGTGGTCACCATCTTTCTGCCGTGACTGTTGAATTCTGGACTGTTCCAACATTGTCACCTTGCTAAGCTTCCTTGTATGTTTGCTCCTTTTTTACTTCGTCTTCCCAACCACAATCCCCCAAACGGCGATAACAGAGCAGCTCCCCGCACCCGGTCATCTTGGCCGACTGTCCAGGAGCATCACGAAAACACTCCCGTGAACACAGAACTCTCCAGCCTGTAACAGTGCAGAATTTGCAAAGACCTCTGCAATCTTTCTGCTCCTTGTCGCTCTCTTTCCCTCTCTCACCCCTTGTACCTCCTCCCTTCTCTCTCTAGTCCCTTGAGATGGGGCACTTCCTCATGTTTTAGAACTGGCAGCAACTTTGTACTGACCAGGCTTTTTACCCCCTACAGATGCTCAACCATTCTCTTGCAGAAAACCCCAATAGTTCCTTTCACTATTTAACTATTATTTTCTTCACTAAATATTTTATGAATGTATTAATTCTAAAACTCCACCAGTACCCACTGTGTAGATGAAGGATGGTGCTATAGTGCGCTGGCTTTCACTCAACTGAGAACACTTGAACAGAGGAAGGCCGAATTGTCTCTGGGAGCTCATCATCTACAGCGACTCTCCAAAGGGAATTTGCTTCTCATCAGACTCATCCAGGAGTCTTATCAAACAGGGATTACCTCTAGGATCCCAGGAGAGGGAATTGCAAGGTGACAACTTTCTTAATTAAATGTTTGAAGCATGTGGTGGGGCGAGGGTGGGAGAGGAAGAGAGAGAGCGAGCGAGCAAGCATTGGTCCGTTTCCCTCAAATACCCACAATGTCTGTGACTGGGCCAGGCTGAGCCAGGAGCCTGGAGTCTCTCCCCGGATTATCCAGCAAGGACCAAGCATCGGGGCTGCCCCTGCTTGCTAAGGCACACTGGCAGCAAGCTGGAAGAGAAGTGGAGCAGCCAGGACTGCCTTCAACCGTCATGCCAATATAGGATGCCAGCCTGTGGTTGGTAGCTTAGCTCACTGCGCAACACCAGTTCATGAAACGTTTGGTCTGAAAGCAAGCAAACTTTTATTGACCCTCCATTTCCCTCCCTCAATCTGTCATTTGTACCACAGTCTCTCCTCAGGAGTGCCAAGCCCCTATCCTCTCTGTAACTCAATATACCAAGAAATCTTCAATCATCTGACACTTCTTCAAATTTCATTGTCCTGTCTCCTGTGCCCAGGTAGATGAGTAATTCAGCCTTGGGGAGGAGGGTGAAGTTCAAAATGTTCATGGAAAATACAATGCGTGGATTTCAAAGGTGTTTCAATAAAATAAACTTATGCCACTTCTTTCATAGGTAACATGAAGCCGCTGCCTATGCTTTCCCCTTTGTTAATCTGTCATGTCGACCGAGTTTGCAGCCCAGCCAAGGAGACCGAGGTGACTGAGGAAGGTCAGTTCTCACATTCCTTCAGACGCAACCACAGAGATCCAGAACACTGGGCCTCCACTGTCAACGAGTAGAGGGTCCCCCATCAGAAAGATGGCCCAGCGCACGCTATGCGCCCTGTGCTAGGGTGGAATTAACAAAGGACTAAGCAGCGGATGTCTCAGAAAACAGGCATCGTTGTCCCACAGTTCCTCGGGGTTAAAGCCTGTCAGATACTGACAACATCAATTTGTCAGAAGATGACTACACAGGACATTCTATTCTGGTCCCTCTCCTCCCTGCAGGCACACGTGGCTCCTCCTTTCTCCTTGACTCACACGCGATGCTTCAGTCTCCATCTTAGGCCCTCGTCATCTGGATTTGGGATCGTCCTGATGGCCTCATCTGAATCTTATCTGAAATGACCCTAGTTTCAAGTAAAGCCACATTTTAGGCACTGGGTATTAGGACATACAAATTTGGGGAGTAAACAACTAAATCCACAGCAGGTGGATGAACTATTGTAGTTCTGTACTTAAGGACTACAGTAACAATTGGGAAGAGACACCAAAAAGAAGTCCGAAAAAGATGGTAGTTCAGCTGCCGAGTCAGACACTGCAGCACTGCCCGGCACCACTTCCCTCAGGCCTTGACTGTTGTCACAACGGTCTAGCTGACGTCATTCTTGCCCTTCCCTGAACATGTTGGGGCCATAGCATTGCTCATCTGCTGCCTTCATCTTGCAGTCCACATTTGTCTCAGAAAGCCTGATTTGACTCTCTTCCAAGTTCTCTGCATAATCGAACCACTTCCTCCAACTGGGATTGACACCAGTTGAGCTTAAGTTTCCCTCACCTCTGGCTCAGATAACTGACACGCCTCCCAATGGGAATTTACTGCCCCACCCTCCCTCCCCACCCCAAGGCATCTCAAATTAGCAACCCAAGTGAGCTTGCTGAAATGCAGCTCTGCTCCATCACACCTGTCCCCACACCCTCTGAAGCTTTCTCCTCTCCTTCAGGGTAAAGGCCACTGTTCTTGGACTGCACTCTCACCATTTTCCCCAACTTCTTTCTGCTTCTGCTGCAATGATCTGCCGTTGTTGTTCTTAGAGGGAGGGAGAGAGAATAGATACATCCAGTCGAGACCTTAGTTTTAGCTGTTCTACTTTCCCACATTGTTCTTCCCTAATTCTTCATGGTTAATTTTTTTTTTCCTCTCTTTCAAACATCTGTTCAAATATCAAATCAGTTAAGCATAGTCAGCTCAAATAAAACATCACCCTCAGGTCCCTCTGGAATTTCAAAGAAAAAAAGATTTATTTGAAAGGCAGGATGACAAAGAGTGAGCAGTATCAGACAGAGAAAAGGGAAGGAGGAAGCAAATAGCAGGGAGAAGGGAGGGGAAGTACAGTTCAGATGCAAACAAGCTCCTTCTTTCTTAAGAAATGATTTGTTTCCCCTTCTGCTGGCTGCCTGGTTGGACACAGTGATGGGCTCCAACCTCTTTTAGGGAGAAGAGCCCTCCACACTTCTTCCTCAGGGTCTTCCCTCGGATTTAGACCCAGGACTTTCTGCCACCCAAATAGAGTCCTCACTAAGGCAGGGCTTAGCAAGCCAGTGGAATTTCACATTTTCTCTTTGACCCTCATGCTTGACAGGCATGTGTGTATATGGATTCTCACACCACACACACACACACACACACACACACACACACACACACACACACACACACAATCCCCATTTTATCAGATCTAATGTTACAGACTGCCTTTTTCTACGTCCTGCACTGCTGTGTGTTGGCCTTGGACTCAAGGTTTAGGAAGCATCCTTCATACATTTTTAGAGAGGGAAAGAGGAAGAAGCTGCAAGTTACGATCATGGTTTATTTTTTCTTGTCACAAGAAATGGAGAAAGTATTTGAGAGATCATTCGATATTTTGAAGATGAGCCCAGAAACAAGTCCAAGCTCCCATGCCTCCTCCTGCCAGAGGGCTGCAAGAACAAACGCGATCAGCTTGGAAGAAAGCTTTAAATTCTCCTATTTGGGGAATAGGAAAAAAATCCCATTTTAATGTCTCTCTTTGGCTCCCTTGTCTCATTTTGTTACTTTCCAGGGAGCATGAATGAAAGATGTAACGAGAAGAAAGGATAAGACAGAACTAGTTATGTTCTTAAGCTTTTTGTCATTGAAATGAATTGTCTGCAATGAAAGTCACTATGTCACTTCTAAGCACATCATGATTTAAGTTAATCCTTTGAGCATCTCATGAGGAAGTGACCATCTCCACAACAGGAAGCCCTGGAAGGTTCTCACTACTGGAGCCGTTGTCTAAGCCAGGCCCTTCACAGTCACCGCCCTGTGACAGCTCCGCAGCTGTCCAATGGGGGATTTTTCAAATCCGAAACCTGTGCTGACTGCTACCAGGTGCATATTCTCATCCCCCATCAGCACTGATGTTCTGGGTATTAGTTCAGAGGATGTGGTCACCAGGCACAACAGACAGGCACAGCTTTCTTGTGGAGCTTTAAAACACACTGCAGCAAACAGGCACTGATGGAAGGGGCCTGGAATCTGCCCTCAAGATTCTCCAGCGGGGACAGTTGGAGGGAAGTACCCAGACTGCGTCAGGGAACATAACATGAAGTTGAAACTTCAGCTACAAACAGTGACAAAGTGTATCCTGGAACAGCTTCCTCGGTCTCGGCAACATGAACACTGGTGGGTGTGTAGGAGGCTCCCTGTGCACTGCAGCACGGTCAGCGGCTCTGCTGTCTGAGCTCCACTCACTACACACCTGTAGCACCACTTTTCCACATCTCTCCGCACACTGCCAAGTCTCCCCTGGCTTTGAGGTCAAGTTCAATCCCAGCTGAGAACCACAGCACCAGAGATGCCCCCTGTTAAAGAGAAGTGATCAAACAAAATCACAGGCCATTAGTAATGCTATATGATTGTTTAAAAGGCGTTTATTTACACACCAAGTACTTCAGCAACCTGATCTTATTCCATTATCATCATAATCTTAGGTGTGTACATGCTGGAATGATGCCCATTTTATAGGCTTGGCCACTGAGGCACAAAGAGCTTAACGACACACTAATGATCCTTAGAGTTGGCAGGTGAATTCTGGCCTGTCATGTTCATCAGTCACTGAGACATGAAAAAAAAAAAAAAAAACCTTCAAAAGTTGTCCTAGGCTCAATCCTTTTCTTCACACCTCCGTGAGCTGAACATAAAACTATCAGCATTGAAAAATGAACATCTACCATCTTGTGTATAGTACAATCCTTTTCTGAGTATTGCATCTCATCCTTCCTGGACAAAATCAAGTTCATTTTAGATGATTCTTTGCTCATGGGAGTCTTGCTCATGTATCCAGATAAAATATTTGTTAGTTCTGAGGAATGGAATGTTTCATAACGTGATTTATCTTTTGGCAGTCCTGCCAGCCACTAACTTGTAGAAACCAAGAAAACTCCTACAGATAATGGAACACAACTGGCTAGGACCAAAGATGCCTGCTACTTCTCTGGGAATAGCTCAACAATTAGCACAAAGGCACGAGTGGGCGCTTGAGTAAAAGCTGCCAGTGAGGATTGAGGGGTGCAGCAGGTGCGACAGACAGCCCTTGGGATGCCTGCATCACGTGGGGAGTCCCAACTCCTGATTCCTGCTGGTGCACGCCTTGCAAGGCAGCAAATGGTACCTCTAGCACTGGGGTCCGTGCCCGTCGCTTGAAAGCCCCAGATATTGCAAGCGTTCAGAGAGTGAACCCCAAAATAGATTATCTTTCCCTTTCTTTCTTCCCATCCCTTTCTAACCCAAAGAAAAATGATGCTTTAAAAAAAGCAAATACAGTGAAAGATGTCAGACATTCTTTAAAAAAAAAAACAACACAAAGTATTCTTTGGCCTAGTACAAGTCGTTAAAACTTTCACTTCTGAGTGAAGGCATCCGATTTGAAAACTGCTTAGGGTGGGCCCGGCATGATGGCCCAATTGGCTTACCGCACCCTCTTCGAGTGCTAGGATCCCAAATGAGCATCGATTCATGTCTCGGATGTTCTACTTCCTGTCCAGCCCCCTGTGGATGGCCTGGAAAAGCAGCGGAGTAAGGCCCACGACCTCCTGCACCTGCATGGGAAATCAAGAAGAGGCTCTTGGATACAGATTGGACATTCGGGGAGTGAACCAATGGGTAGAAGATCTTTCTGCCTCTCCTTTTCTAGGTAAATCAGTCTTTTCAATATAAATAAATGTTAAAACTGCTGGGGGGTGGCTGCATCCCATGATAGTCTCATGTTAAGGTCCCTGCTGCTCTTCCTATCCCAATACCCCATTACTGCATGCCCTGCGTGCCAGTAAGGATGGCTCAGAAAGCTGAGATCCCAGCACCCACCTGGGAATCTGAACCTCCTGGCCCAGCCAAGCCACCGCTGTTGCGGGCATTTGGAGAATGAACCAAAAGATGGGAGAGCTCTCTTTCACTGCCTTTAGAGAAATAAAAGTACTTTCATAAAGGAAAGAAAAGCAAATTGCCAATGCTATCATTTAAAATTTGCTATCAAATTTTCTGATTTTTTTTTCTTAGAAAATTCTAGGTGCAATATTTTCTTTATAGGCAGGGTTTTTAAATAACGCTTTGGCTGGACTTACACAGCTAGAAAAAAAACTCATTATTTTATTTTCATTCTTTCATTCTGGTAGACTATGTTCCACCCCCTTGATTTACATCTGTTTTCTAGAAGTGTATTATCCCAAATACGTGGGGCACAGGAGCATCGATGGATGAGGCAGAACCATCACTAAGCTTCATCAAACCAATGGCTTTAATGGTAGAATGTTCTATATGAAACCAGGAAGTGGAAGATGGCAGTGGTGGGCCAGTCAATAACCTCCCGAGTGGAAGTTGCCATCTCACTAACGCAGCATTATCCCAGGACTTAGGAGTTGTCAGAGAGAATCAGGATTGCCTACGAGACCTCGGACCATTGCCTGTCCATGTGCGTGTCAGACCGTGCAGTGTGGTCTGAATGAAAGGACTTAAAACAACAATCATTGGTAGGTAGGACTCCGTTTCTGTGTCTGGCTCCACTTTGCCTCCGAGATGTTCAAGTGGAGACAGAGCCAGATTTGCCGGTTCCTAAAATAAACTTCTCACAAGAACCGGGAAAGCTGCCAAGTGAAGATGCAAAGCGAGGTATGGTCAGGCACCTTCAGAGTACGTAGGAAGTCATGCTGGGAAACAAGCTGTGAGCAAATTAATAATCCTTGCCTTAAATTATCAAGTGGAATAAACTACGTATAAAATAAGAGAACTATTCTGGATGTAATTGTATTCATTTCCCAGATTCCTTCAACTAAGGGTTTTGGCTATTCTGATTGAATAGTCCCTTTCACCATGAATGGGTGTGTTGAGCTCATATTAAAAGAATAAGATAATTAACAAGCCAACCTTGTGATTATGTGTGCACAGGAAATGGTTACCTGCTTCCTCTTCTAACCCTTTACGATGGATCAAACTCCCTGCCCATTCCTCAGCTGGCAGCTCCTAGTCATTCTGTCGGATACTCAAACAGCTCTCCGAGAGGACTCTGCAGCAGCACTTAGCCCTGTTTTAAAGACTCCCGTGTCCCATCTTCAACTCCCTGCATCCCATCATAATGCAGACCTGGGAGGTGCAAATGGTGGCCCCAGTAGACCACGCAGGAGATGCGGCTGTGGCACGCACGTGGACAAGCCTACAGCACACGGGAGCTCTGCCCTCATGCCCTCTCCGCCTCTCTTCCTCCCTGCAGCTTTATTTCTTCTCAAAAAAAAAAAAAATCAAAAATCGGATTTAAGTTAATTTCTTCACATCATTTTAGTGACTGCATCCTCGGGCAGTTTCCCTCGCAGTACTTACAGCAGTCTACAGTATTTTGTGTGTGTGGGTTTCTTAAACTCTCATTGAACATCTCATCTATCCCTGTGTAGCGAGGCCCCAGCACCCCAGTGCCTACTTAATAAACAGTGGAGAATGAATCATGCATAAGGAGTAGCCCTGCCCCCGTTAAGCCCTGGCTGTACTTTGTTTCTCTTCTAGAAACATCCATGATATTCCTTGCTGTGTGTTGATAATGAAATTCTTTCTTCTTGAGCCAGCTGGAATGAGACCGTGATTCTTACAACAGAAGTATCCGAAGTCTCAGCCAGCTAACCGGCCCGTAGACATAACAGCCCTAGCGACTATGACAATAACAAGGTAACATTCCAGCAAGCTTCTAAGGAAACAAGTAGCCTCCCCAACAGTTCATCTTCTCTTTATCCAATCTAAACTTTAACCCTTAAACAAACTGGCCTCTCGCTCCCCCTGGTGGAGAGTCGCAAAACTGCAAGAAAAGATGCAGGAGCCCCAAATCCAGCCAAGTGACCTCTATGCAATTTGCCCACTCAGAAGCAAAGAAAACAATGGCTTTGCCAGCCTCGTTTTTAGCCCTTCAGTGTTCTGTCATCTATGTTAAGAGACCAGAAAGCTTGCATATTATTTGCTTTTTTTTTGGTCTAGTTACTTGCCACGTGTCTTCCAAGCAGTTGCCACCAAGGCACAGTACTCGCAAGTGTGTAGGAGGTGGGAACGGTACTTGCTTCCTGTTCTGGGTTCTTTTGATGTTTTCTAGCAACCAGGGACAGTTAGCATTCTAGGATCTTATTAACCCTTGTCACCAGAGTCTTGTCCCAGCCCCTCGGGAGGCCCGCACCTATTTTAACTGGTGCTTCCCTGTGGCCTCCGGGCTGAGTCATCCAGCCCGCTTCTCCAGGATGCTGGGTCTGGTGATGTCACAGTGTCGAACTGAAATAAAGATGGAGTGATCATGGTTCACTGCCCACTGCAATGCTTCTCGCTTTGTAACTCCTGCCTTGTTTGCTCGGCTATGGGACTGTGTGGGCTCGCAGGATGAGCCTTCTACGTGACCTTCAGCGTGAATGGTCCCCAGTTCCCAGGGATTCAGGTCCGAGACTGGTTATCTCACAGATGTTGCCAAGGCCCAAGTCTGGTTATCTGGACTGCCAGACCGGAGGGGAGACGAGCACAGGACGCCCAGCTGAGATGGGCAGTGAACGCGTAGTGCCTCTGCTGCTACACTGTGCCAGCCACTGCCAACTGCCCTACAAAAGCTCTGTGAACGTGCTGGTCGGGGCTGCACTGGTAGGGGTGTCGGTTCCGGTCGGTCTGTCGGTCGCCTTGCCTCTGTAATTATAGCTGTGTTGTGACTGGCACTGACGTAATACTCAGCTTTAGCAGTCCAGTGGATGCAACAACAGGCTTCCTTGCACTCCTTCAGGCAGAGGGGTTGTTGCTATGCCCAGCAGCTGTTAAACACAGAATTCCAGGAGTGTCAAACTCCCTTATTCAGTTCCTTCCCCTGAAAACCCTCAAGTGGTTTCTGACTCAGGGCCTGTGCATCTTTAATGAGCTCTAGAGAATGAAGATAATCTAGTGAATAAATAAGGGTAAATACTTTTTTTAAAAGCCAAGAACTTGGACATATTCATACACACACACATATACTTTTTCACTTTAGAAGTGACAATAAATTATGGTAAGAGTGACATGTTGCCTGCATAAATATTTAAGCCTTCCAAAATTTAACTCAAAGAACACACAAACACAAAACAGAATCTCATGTTGGAGAACACATTTGCTGCGTTAGCCCATGCATTTTATCACTTGTGTCATGAAAAAAATTCCAAACTGCCCTTCCTACTGAGTCTTTTTCATAATGTTATTAGTCATTTTTTTCTAAGAAGCAAATTAAATACTTTCACACCTCTCTGAACCACTGGTTAACAAAGAAGTTTGAAGAGTTAATTTCATGATTAAAGCAAACATTCAGAGGACCCCCAAACAGACAGACAACCGACTTGTTATCCTAAACCCTACAAGGTTGGCAAGAATGAAGAGACGTAGTCCAGGTTCTGAAAAAGGCATTGTTGGCCCAGAATACTCTAGCAAGCAAAGCACTCATTTACACATGAAGGTAAAATAAAGACCTTAAACAGAATGGGGAAGAACTTGCTACCATCAACTCAGTCCTTCAACTGATGCTTAAGGATGTGTTATACACAGAAATAAAGAATAATAACCATCATCATTAAGAACACAAAGCTAATATGTATTATACACACACACACCAGGGTATATAGATCTTAATAAAGGCACAAAGCACAAATGAAATAATGAGAATATTCCTGGTAAAATGGTAGGATCAAGTTAATAATAACCCAGAACAAAAATGACCTAAACTCTCCAAAAATGCAGACTGACTGAATGGAATAAAAAAAAAAAAATGACCCATCTACTTGCCACCTGCAAGAAACATCCCACCAACAAAGACACACAAAGTCTGAAAACTAAAGAATGGAAAGGAATATCCCATGCCGACAGGAAAAACAGCCCAGGTACAGCCATTCTAATATCAGATAAAATAGACTTCCAAACAAACAAAAAAAACTGGTAAAAAGAGGTGAAGAACACCATTACGTAATGATTCGAGAATCAGTTCAGCAAGCAGAGACTACAGTCAACATGAAAGCACCCAAAGCAAGAGCAATTATTGCCGATTCTAAAGGGGGTATGGTATTCCAATTCCATAACAATGGGAAACTTGAATATCCCACTTTTACGGGGGGGGGGTGTCAATTAAAGAATCAAAGTAACAGGGCTAATCCATATTATGGACCAAATGAATCCAATTTACACCTATAGAACATTTCATTCCACAAATGCAAAATGCACAATTTGTTCAGCAGTTCATGGAACCTACTCTAGGACTGCTCGTAAAGCAAGGTTCTTCAAATTCAAAGAAATAATTGGAATCATACTATATACCTTTTAGGACCACCAGAGAATGAAGCTGGGAATCGAGAGCTCAAGGAAATCTAGGAAATATGCAAATACACGGAGACTGAATAATACGCTACTACAAAGAGTGGATCATAGAAGAAATGGAAGAGGGAATGAAGAAGACACCATGACACGTCACAAATTCTGGGATCCAACGGAAGTAGCTTTAAGAGAAGTTCATAGGTTGTGGGAGGAGCGGGAGAAATCCAAGCACCTATAAAACTGTATCACATAATACAATGTTATTAACAATAAAAAATAAATAAAAATAAATAAATAAATTTTTTAAAAAGAAAAAAAAAAGAGAAGTTCATAACAATTAGTGCCTCTGTCAAGAAATCAGA